TGAGAATGGCTTGTTTCTTGCTACCTTCTGGAACCAGAAACTAACAAAGCAGCATGAAGAAAACTAATTTCTTTTTTCTTTTATGTTTCATTTAAAGACATAGTGGGAGCCTTCCATAAAGGGTGTTAAGTGAGACATGCTACTAACTTTTTAGAATTTGTTTGTTCACAGTTACAAAGGATAGTAGAAATGCATGTTGGATAACAAAGACCAAGTTGGGTGGAGGTGGCAAAATTATTTCAAAACCTTTCCCAAGATTTATAGCAGTTTCTGCACAGTTTAAACTGCCATTCTTAAGAGTGTGCAGCTTTAAAATTTAGGTCTAAAATGTGTGAATTGTTCTGTTTATTTCAATTGTATGATTAACTCTTTGAGAGCCTTTATGCCAATTCAACTTTGCTATGTTGGTATCTGGTTGTATGTTGATTTTCAGTATTGCACCTTTGCTATTTCAGTCCTACTAAGAAAGCAAGTGTAAACATTGCAAGAAAGAAATTCATGCTTACATAATCTGAGAACCCACTATCCACATCTGAACATTTTCTATCACTGTTCAGAATGCTGCTTCTGTTGGGGGGAGGGAACTGAGTTGTTATTCACTGTGTTAACTGACGCTTAATACAAAAATAAAATTCTGCAGATACCTTTATTGCATTATGCCAACAGTTCAGTTAGTATAATTGCACACAAAGAGCAACCAAATGCAATTTTCTTTTACTTAATACTCACTCCGCTGTTTCTTTCAGCTCCTTCATCTGATTAACTAATGTGACTCAGAGTTCTTCCTAGAAACAGGCATGTAAGTATTTGTAAGAGGACTCTCCCTGATGCAAAAGACAAAATCTATGCAACCACTAAGTGTTGTGAGGAAGAGACCCGAGCTGAAGGAAAACAGTAATCCAGTTTGGATGAGAAAATTATTTGATGACAGTTTCCATGCAAGAAACCATGGTCACATAATGGCTGGTGGATATGCAGATCAGGTGGGACAAAACAATGCAAGATTTGAGGGGAAAAAAGGTTAATCTTTTTGTGCATTTCACAACACACCATTTTTGTACTGTGTGCCCTGACACGAGTAAGTTGTCAGTTGGACAGATGAGAAGCTGAAACATCAAAAGAGAGGCTATCCTCATGGTATTTACAGCCTATTCAGAAGCACCAGAAATCTTTAATTAAAGCCTGATTGCTCTATGTCTTGTTATCTTCTTTTGCCTACTAAGAATCCTATTTTGTCTCCTCCAGTTTCCATGATAGCAATTTTTTTACCTAGAGTTCCTCACGGTATCTTTTTATACCTGAATTTCCCATATTCTCTCCCTGTCTATAAAAGGAAATTACATTGGTTTCATATAAATTGGCTTTTTAATTGGCAGTTAAACTCCCTGTAGAGAAATCCTATGGTTTGAGCAGCTTTCAGTTTTACTTAAACTAATACCTAATCAATTTAAAATTGAAGCCTAAGTAAACTTGATTTACGTTAAAATAAACTGTGCACAGATTTAGCCGTTTCAATCAAAAATCCTAGTTCCACTGAAGTTGTTTCAATCTCCTGGTATATGTGGGTTTTCTTACTTTTTTTTTAGAACCAAGTTTCACCTGCAACCTTTCAGCAAGAAGCTGGCACATCAGCAAATAACACGTCATTATTTAATTGAAAAGGAAAGCATTTGCATTGCTTGGTGACCATCTATCTAATGGTCTCCTTGCACTGCAAGTAGCTGTGTGTCTTGAAACCTATAGGAATTTTTCTATGTTGGTCCTGGTCATCATCAAGAAACTTGAAAGCGCAACACCACCACATTAGTGGTGGCAATTTTGGGTCTTATTCTCTACACAGTGCATTCATCATCCCATGTGTGACACATGACAGTGGTTAACAGATTTTTGGAAGCTTCAAGATCTCTCACAGCGTGGCTGTGTTATGTGTTTTGAACCTTCAGTGTATATATGATGGAGGCATGCCAAGTCACAATAAGCAATGGCAAGGCTGAAGAAGTAATTCACTGGGTACAGGGCCTGAGAACAGAGAGGACAGGGAGGTTGGTGGTGATGACTATAGCTTCTGCAGAAAATAGATGTTAATGCACAGGCAAAACCAGCAGGTGCATGTTAGAGGTTGTTCTCAGTTACAAAAGAACAAATATAGGCCCATATCCTTGAAAGCAATGGAGCTTCTTTGGATTTACTGTCATGTAAACAAAGAGGTACCTGTCTTTCAGGTTGTACTTGCTGCTGTGTAGGATGAGGGGACCTCAGGAGGGCATTTTATTATCCTGTTGTCTCTTCAGCTATAGAAACACAATTCTTTGTTTTAGTATTATTTCTTAAGAAGGAAATATTACAGCCTATGATCCATCACACAAGCCAAAGACCACATTAGCTTTAATCACTTTTGGCTGAGCTCGTATTGGTCAATGGCAGTCTTTGGGACTTCAGGCTGATGCTGTTGGTTCACTTGCACAACAGTAAATATGTGGCCATCAAAGTAAAGGCTTTGACAGACTCAGCCTGAGGTTTCGTAAATGTATTACAGGATGCAGAAAGAAACAAGATTAAAGCTGGGTAAAATGCATAGCCCAGGGACCAAACAAGCATCTGCAGTGTTTATTGAGAGCAGAGACTCAGCAACACAAAGGAAAAAAGTGATTTGGTGCTGCGGAGACTCTCAAACATGCAATGACTTCCCACTGCAAGAAGCTGCAGCCTAGCTTCTCTGATTTCTGCCCTGTCTACACCAAAAGCACAAAGGGGAGAAAATCGCTGTAGGAGTGATTTCAAACCTCAAGGGCTGGTGACAATTTTAGACAGCACATGAACAGGACCAAGGATCAAGCCTAGAAATTAGGCAAGATGTCTTGGATACCACAGGAATTACCTTGAATTTTCACCCCAAGGTCATAAAAAATTATTTGAATTGCTCAAAGTACCTCGGTGACCTTCTCTTCTACTCCCATGCAATCTGACTCCCATTATTTCTACCATCCAAGCATTTCTTTAAATTGCATTCCTCAGATAGGACAGGGAGCAAACGAGCTAGAAGATGTTCCATCATTTCAGGTCTAGAATGAAGTAGGAAGTAACAAAATTCTCAAAGAAACCTACAGTCACAAGATTTCTAGCCTAACACCAATACACCCCCTTTACATTAACTTTGCATCCAAACTTCAGGCCATTCTCCAGTCTGCACCTGGTACCTAATGGTAACCTTTTATGTTACTAAAACAGTAGGAACCCCGGAAGGAAATGTATAGCTGCCTTAGGGAACTGCATCATCACTTAAGCATTGTCATTGCTATGGAAAGTCAGGCAGAAGTCCATAATCTACATCTGTGTATGGATCTTACCACAAGATCATTGACCTAAGAGCAATACTGAAAGCGCTTAAAAGTAAAAGGTGGCTGCATTTACAGGCAGGAAACGGAGATACAAATATCGAAGGGAACACTTCAAAGGATCTGCAAAGAGAATGTAAGGGTTTTTTGGAAATTATACCTTTGTGACCAGCCCAAGCTCACACACAACATCGGTAACAGAGCTAGACACAGCCTAAAGCTACACTGCTAAAGCACTGGTCCACCCAGTCCAGCATTCTCTCATATGGCCTCATTCTCCCGAGACTCCTGTCAGTGCTCTTGCACTTTTCTTGCTGTATGATGCTCAGTACATAAAATATCAATAAACTCCACTTGATGGCAACTCTTGGCCTGCACTGCAGACTGTATCATCAGCCCCACCGCCAGAGCTTGCTTCACAAGATAGTTCAGGTATCAGAAGTTGCCCTGCCATGGCAGCATGAAGTGGGCTAACACATCCAGCTTTTCAGGCAGGCTTTGAAGACTGTGTGGAGCTTTTGACCACACTGACCAGACTGCTGTTGGTATGAGAGCTGACACTGTTAGTTCCTGTATTTCAACAGTACTCCACAGGTAGCAAAGTGAAACATAACCTAGAATAGAACAGACTCAAAGAAGTCTTTCTAAGACTGAGGAGTGGGAGAGGAGGCAGCAGGAACAAATCCCTGTGCTTACTGACAAAGTAAAGGAGGTGTATACCAACCATGCCCATGTTCTCTGCTTTAAGAGGGGTGGTATTTCAAATTAGGAGGTAACTAGCTAGCACTAAGTGAGGAGAAAGAGCTGCACACAGTGCTGAGGGTGACAAGTGCTTCTATCTCATGCAGTCACCTCGACTTCCATGGTCAGCCCTGCTCCAGCAGGTAGGCTGGAGGTTGTGGCCACCTGAATCAAATCAAGAACGGAAGCTGGCAAGAAGGAGGGAAGGAAGCAGAGTGAAATAAAAATGCATGTGCAGAGCCCAAAACAGATATTTTGAGTGTGTAGGCAAGCCTGGAAGGGGGAAGAGACAGTGATGTGAGAGGGACGGAATGGAAATCTTGCATCTGTTTGGCCCAGGCTGCTACAGTTAAGCTGGAAAGGGTTGCTGAGGGACAGGGGAGAGTTAAATAACATTGCCCGTACAAGACTGACATTTCTAACTAACTAAAAATCATGTTTTTAAAACAAAGTCCAATGCTGTACTCTTTCCAGTGTGCAATGAAAATATTACTAAAAAAGCAAAGCTATGTTATTTAAAACCAAGCCTATATTAACTAGAGCTTGGTGTTCAGGTTACCACATGCTGGACTCATGTCAATTTGGACACTTTGCTTTGATTCCTGCCTATTCTTAAAAGACCACAACAACAAACAAACCTGTCTTACAGTTTAAAAGCACTTTTTACTTCAAGAACAGGCTCCCTCTAGTTCCTTCTTTTACCAGCTTGCAATCAAAATCCAAGTTACAGTTAACAGCTAAAGGCAACTACTTTCTAGAGCTTGTTTTGTTTTGTTTGTAAGGGACTTGGGAAAAGCTCTGAACAAAGCCTTTTGTAAAAAAAATAAATAAAGGAATTGTATTGCATTTAGCCACATCTAACTGAAATCTGTACTAGTTGGAAATCTCTGCTGTCTGAAAATGCTTCTCAGACCAGACAATTACCTGCAGGACCAGAGATGGGGGCAGTGTTGAGTTGGAGATTTCCCAGAAGCTTTTGTTCCCATCCAAACTTCTGGCCACCTCTACTGGTGAGAAAATTGCTTGAGTCTGGAGTGGTACCTCGAGGTGTCTTCTCTCCACTGACTAGAAAACAAGAAGTCACAGACTGGTTTATCATTGCGGGTGGCCGCGTCAGTATGTAATCCAAAACTGAAACTAAATTAAGGGCTGGAGGCTTCTCTGCTGAGAATAAGAGCCTGCAGTCACAGGATATAACACTATTAAAAGGAAAGGGCAGATTGGCTTTCCATTGCTGTTTTGGGAACTGTGACAAAAGAAAAATAAACAGGAATGAGTGGTGGGCAAAACAGTAAGTGAATGAACACACAAGGCAGAAATACAGAATACAATCTTTAGCAACTGTTAGAAAGTTTTTCTTCTAGCCAGTAAAAGTATGTGCAATCTTTCTTAATTACAGCCTAATTTAAGATCTCTTTAGAGTCCTGGAACCTGAGGTACATTGTACTTATGCACAGAAACCAAGGGGTATCACTGCCATAAATGGAAAGACTTATAGCCCCAGCCAATGCAAATTAACATAACACACAGTAGATGAAACATTCTGACTGGTCTTGGATGAGGAAGTGGCTTAGAGGTTTTCAATCTGATCAGGGCAAATGAGGTTGTAGCTTCAAGCCTAGGACATGAAAGAACACTCTCAAGTTCTACTGATCAACCCAAGGTAAAAGTTTCATGTGTTCAGAGCAGCAATCCTCATGTAAGTTGTTGGTCTGAGGTATACAGTGACAGATCATTGAACACATTTACAAATTAAGCAACTCACTATGCATGAGATTGTGAAAGATAAGCCAGACACAAAGTTCAATAAAAATCTAAATGGGGTGAAATCTGGCAGTGGAGGTATAGACTGGGCATATTCTAGAGGCCAGTCAATGACAAAGTCTGGATCAGAATACAAATTTTTCCCAAGAGTAGGAGAGAGGGAAGATCCTAGTTTCTGATTCAGACTTAAATGCATGTCAGTCCAAATAAAATAAGCTTGTTCTAATTTAACTGGAGTATTGTGCCCAATGTTACTGCAAAGTTAGTGTCAATCACAGGATGCCTGTCTTTCCCTGGCCAGAGTCCTACTGTCATTCATTTTCATAACTGTCATACAGCAAACCAGGTCATGTGGAACTCTATAATCACAGATTGGCTTCTGCATCAGCCTGGGTGGATAGGTGATGCTACTGTCTCATGCTGGCTTTCCCACACCATATGTCTTACTACCCATTCACTGCCAAACTTGGAACCCATTCACTGGTCGGCTCCACTAATAAGGTATGCATGTGAATGGTCTTCTCCATCTAAGCATAGTTATTTCTGAAACACACCTTTACATTTCAAGAGTCTTTTGAAAATAACAACACCCAGTCACTTCCTCACAGTTTCAACCCCTTTCCAAATTTCAATTACGTGGCAAATAAAAGACAAGTCACTTCTAGATAAAAGGAAAACTTACTTGTTAAATAACAGTCCAGACTAAGGGAGACATTGTCAAAAGCAATAATGGCATCAGATCCTTCTTCCCACGAAGCGATGATCTGAAACCAAAACCTGCACAGATTGGAAGAACAGGGATTAAATTCTGTTAAAGAGATGAAACTCAGAGCTCTTTGCAATCAAAACAGTTTTAGAATGAGGAAAAAAAGCTTTTCTTTTCACACATAAAAATATTAAATTGACAGATAAAGTATCCTCACCCCTAATAAGCAAAGATGATCTGAGGCGGGAAGCTGTACATGAATATAGGTAGATGTAAAAAAAGAACACAGCCCTTCTTCCCTCCAGAGGCATACAACCTGAAGCAAGTGCAAGTATGTGTGTGTGTCAGTGCCAGGACAGAAAAGAAAGCCCCCCAGATTCTGGCACACAAAAAAAAATCAGACACCTAAAGTGATTTTATTCTCATGAGTGATTTACACCCTAAAGTGTTATGAAAAATAAGTAGATTGGGGCTCCTGAAGTAATTTGGAGTTTCTAAAAGGAATTGGCAACCGAAGGCTGAAACCAATTTAGAAATTATTTGGTGTTGATCTGCCCTCTAGGAAGCAAAGGATATCTAACAGTCCTGGCAGTCACAAAAGAGAGGAACTGACACTGGGTAGTCCACAGGAAGACAAGAACTCATTATGTCCTTTTAGAAGCTGAGCAGGTTTACCTTAAATCGCTTCCACACTCTCAGCTAGCTTTTGCCTGGAAGTTCTACCACTCCTACGTTATCAGAAGAAAGATCACTGTAAATTCACCCTCAGTGATATTACAAGTCAACAGGAAGAGCACAAATAAGTCACAACCAAATACCTCAAATCTGATAGTACATTGACTATGCATTAATTTAGTGCACCCATGGGTTTATATCTTTCTCTTAGCTTAGCAAGTTCATGTTCTCCTGATGCATATCTGCCACATAAAATCATAATCATAGAATCGCAGAAAGTTTGAGTGGAAGGGACCTCTAAAGTGCATCTAGCCCAAGCCCCCTGCAATAAGCAGGGGCATCTTCAACTAGATCAGGTTGTTCAGAGCCCTGTCCAGCCTGACCTGGAACATTTCCAGGGATGGGGCATCTAGCACCTCTCTGGGCAATCTGTGCCAGTGTTTCACCACCCTGAACATGAGAAATTTCTTCCTTATATCTAGTCTAAATCTGCACTCTTTTAGTTTAAAACCATTATCCCTTCTTCTATCGCTACAGGCTCTGCTAAGAATTCTGTCCCCATCTTTCTTATAAGCCAGTCCCCCTTAAGTACTGGAAGGGTGAAATAAGGGCTGCCTGAAGCCTGCTCTTCTCCAGGCTGAAAAACACCAACTCTCTCAGCCTGTCCCCATAGGAGAGGTGCTCCTATGAGCACTTCCCTCTCATCGTTTCTGTTGCCCTCCTCTGGACCTGCTCCGACAGGTCCGTGTCTTTCTTTGTGCTGAGGGCTCCAGAGCTGGACACAGGACTCCAGGTGGGGTCTCATTAGAGAGGAGTAGAGGGGCAGAATCACCTCCCTCAACCTGCTGGCCACGCTGCTTTTGATGCAGTCCAGGATATGGTTGGCCTTCTGGGCTGTGAGCACACACTGCTGTCTCATGTCCAGCTTTTCATCCACTAGTACCCCCAAGTCCTTCTCGGCAAGGCTGCTCTCAATACCTTCATCCCCCAGCCTGTACTGATACTGAGGGGTGCCCCAATTCAGGTGCAGGACCCTGCACTTAGCCTTGTTGAATCTCATGTTGAACCTCTGGATGGCATCCCGTCCCTCAGGTGTGTCAACCACACTGCTCAGTTTGGTGTCATCTGCAAACTTGCCGAGAGCGCGCTCGATCCCACTGTCTATGGCATTGATGAAGATATTAAACAGTACTGGTCCCAACATGGAACCCTGAGGGACACCACTCATCACCAGTCTCCATCTGGGCATTGAACCATTAACAACTACCCTCTGGATGTGACCATCCAACCAATTCCTCATCCACACATGAGCCCACTCATCAAACCCATATCTCTCTAATTTGGAGAGAAGGATGTTGTGGGGGACCATGTCAAAGGCCTTACCAAAGGCCAGACAGATGACATCGGTACCTCTTCCCTTGTCCATTGATGTGGTCACTCCATCATAGAGGCCACTAGGTTGGTCTGCTTAGGAAGGAGAACAATTTCTAAAAGCAGCTGACCATGGCCCACAAGTCAGATACAATGCTGAGAGGTTGCATCGAGATTATAAAAACAAGGAAGTATTTTTAAAATCTACTTCTCCTTTACCAACAAACCAGACTCACGAAAGAAAATTCAAATGAAGCTTCTCTGTTCATATGCACATTTACTTTGGGACAGCATGTTCCTGTGTTTTGAAGGAGGGTTTTGACTGTTTCAGCCACCTGATTGAGTCAACAAAGATAACAAGCTTCCATGTTGTTCTCCAATACAGTGCAGCTTTCACCACCAGTGATGACAGTCAGGTTTGGCACAAGCTAAAACAGATACTAGGGATATATGTACCTTTTGAGGGTGTCTAGATTGAAGTGTCCTTGTCTTCTGCAACTGGTGTTCTTGCTAAGCTATAGATGGGGACACAATCAGAAAAGCTGACCCAACCAAAGCAAAAATTTCAAACAGAAAAAGATCCTGGCAGTCCCTGAAAGGTGCAAAGGGTTTCGAACAGAACATAGTCTGTTCACAACAGAAAAGAGTTGATACAGTAACTATGTTCCTTCTTGTCTACTGCTGGTAAAGTACAACAATGATGCTTCAATACTGAAATTTCTCGCTCATGGGACATATGAAGAGACTTTTCCAAATTAGACTTTTTATGTTCTAAAGACATGAGCCATTGCTATAAAATAACAGGTAATTGACACAAATATGGATGGTGGATATGGTGAAGGAGGAGTATCTCTACCACCAAAGGAAACTCCAAACAGCAAGACATAATTTTCCTTCCTAAATGATCCGTCTTTATCAGCTCAAAAGGCAGCAGCTCCATCCAAACCAATCTGAAGATCACAAAAGTATTTTTTGCCTTCCCAATCCATAGAAAATGCAACTGCAGTCTTATGTTGCCAGAAGCCTCACAGTTCTTAGTTGGTATACCTGGAACCCACTGTGGGTATGTCTAGGAGGAAATTGGAAGAAATGTGAAAACTATGGATGTTAAACTGGCTTCCAAGCTGTCCTCCCCCTACCTCCTTCCCTCATTTGCTCCACAGCTGACATCCCACACCACTTCAAATGAAACTACAAGCTCTAGCATAAACATAAGCTGCTCAGTTTGAGACATGCCATGTGAGTCTTAAACAAAAGCTGTTGGATAGACAAAGTGGGCTCCAATCTACTTTTTCCTGTACATTCCTGTGCCAGCAGAAGACATGAATGAATCACATGTGAAAGGTCCTGAACCACCACAGGTCACAGTCTGGTATGTCATGGAGAATCAGGACCTACCTTGGGCTATAAAGTAAAGGCCACAGCTCAGCAGAAGCTTCTCCCTCCCTGTGTGTGCTGCTGAAACCTCCAGGAAGACGTAAGGTGGAAATGGATTCAAGCTATATGCCTTTCAGTTGGCTGAGTCTGAAAATCAATGTCCTGCACACAGTGAACCTTGGTGCTACACTGAAGAGACCACTGGAACTGAGTCTCTGACGCATTTGATCTTCGGCCTCTTTCCTGGGGGTGCACAGTAAATGCCACTTGGAGATGTGGACATTTTGATGTATACTTACATTTGTAAGGTGCTAAACTGAGGTTGGAAAATGAATTACAAAGACAAATAAGCAGTTCTTAGACACGGTTCTCCATATCAGCTTTTCCCTCCACTTCTGCAGACTTTAGTTCAGGTTGCATAGAAGAAGAGACAGATACTTCTGCAAGGACTAATAGGCACCTTCTTTATACCTGGCAACTAAATACCTATTAAAATAGCTTTGGGCAGTTTCCTTGGCAGAACGTAAGCTTCATGCCCCAAAGTGTTGTCTTTTGATGCACTGTTGATGTCATGCCTCTTCAGACAATGAAGGATTTTATGAGAATTATCAAGGGTTCAGCCCCTAAAGACAGAAAGGCATGATACAACCAGTATTTCTGTCATTGAAGTGACTGCCATCTAACTTGTCCATATAAGAATGCAATAGGTTGTGTTTTACTTTATTTACAGTTCATTCAATTTAAGAGTCAGCTTTATAGGTTTCACCTCCAGGAGCACTGGGACCAGAACTTCTGAAGTTTCCTGAAGTTCACCAGGGATGAAAAAAACCGACAGAAATGCCTCCAAAGTAGAAAAATCATGTGAATGTCAAACACTATTAGAACCATCAGCAGAGCTCTGGTCGTCTATTAATCTGTGGGGTTTTTTTCTAACATGAATGCAGTTTCAGTACAAATCTTCTCTTGAGACCAGCATTTCTGCAACAAATAGTTCATCTTTTTCTCTTCTCCAGTTTAATGCCACTATTAATTCAGAAATATGATGTCTTTCAAATTTCATTGAAACAAGATCATCAATTAACCAACATTTCAATCATTAGCTTTGGTGGTTTTAGCTTAATGGGCTAATTAAGGGAAATTTAATCAAAACTGAAGATGGAAATGTCACACATCAGTGAGATGGAAAAACCCCCACAGACAATCTCGTTCCCTTGCCCCCTCCTTTTTTTTATTTCTGTTTGATCCCTGAAATCAATGAAACAACTCCCTTTGACTTTGGTAAAAGCTGATACTGAAACACCAAAAACATATGTTATTGCAATGACTCAGTATAACACTGGAGGATAATGTCTCACTGATATTTTTGCACAGATCAACGTGGGGTATGCTGACTGCACATCCAGCACTTCAGCTGGCACCCATACAGCACTGATACCGATCCACAGCACTGGGTAGACATATTCACTGCAAACACGGATGCTGTGGTGAATGGCCATGAAAGAGTATTCCTGAAGGCAACTACACAGGAGCAGCAAAATTAGTGCTGGCAAATTTGTTGTGACTTTGTGGCTTAACAAATCCCAGCAACTTCCCCACATGGAACCCAAATCCTTGTCAGATAAGTCTGTATTTGTAAGCTAGATTTCAT